GAAGGTTCTAGGTCCCGAAGCCGATGAGACCACAACTGTGCCAACGAGAGTGTTGAAGACTCCTCATCAACCTAGTGCTGCGGAGAGGGCCGCGCACGAAGGGCATCATCTACCTTTTCGGCCTTGGTGTCCCATCTGCGTGCAGGCTCGAGCGGACGATGACCCCCACCACGCTCAGGAACCAGCTGATGAGAACAAGATCCCGAAGGTGGTGTTCGACATCTTTTACGTAGGGACGGACCAGCTGGCTGCGAAGTACAAGCTTAAAGGAGGTTACTTCAGCATCAGGGAGAAGACGTCGGTCACGAAGGCCGAGTTAGACCAAGCGGTCTCTGTCTTGTATGTTATCGACTGTAAGATCTTGGCTCAGGCGACGTTGTACGCGAACAAGGAGACGGATGACTACAAGGTGTCCTTCCTGCTAGGCGTGCTGGAAGCTTGGGGTCACACAACAGTCATACTTCAGACAGACCAGGAGCCTGCCACCATGGCTCTGGCGCAGGCAGTTCGAGATCGCAGATCACACTCAACCTTGGTGCGGGGATCACCGCCCTTTTCCAAGCAGAGTGCAGGCTACGCTGAAGGAGGTAACAAGCTAGCAGCTGGTCTACTTCGAGCCTACAAGCTGAAGCTGGAGCACAAGCTGGGCAGCGAGATCAAGATGACGGATCCGATCGTGCCATGGCTTGTGAACTCGGTGGGGTGGATGATCACCAGATTCCAGCCTCGCAGTCACGGAGGTTCCTCCTACAAGATGCTCTACGGCAAAGAGTACAACGGCGAGATTGCGGAGATGGGTGAGCAGGTCTGGTATCGGATCTCAGCCCGAGTTGCCGCGGGACGCGGCAAATGGGAAGCCCGCTTCGCAAAAGGAATCTGGGTTGGTAAGAGCGAGCTGGACGACACACATCTCGTGATCGATCCTGAACGTGGAGTGCAGAAGGTCAGAACGGTGCGAAGGATGCCTGAGGAGTTCAGGTGGCAGCCCGAGCTCATCCAGCACATCAGGGTGACGCCCTGGAAGCAGACGCCCGACAAGAGTTCAGGAACCATCGGACGCAGCATGTACATCACGGAGCGCATGATCGATGCTCATGGTCCTACCGACGATTGCAGGAAGTGCAGTACAGGATACGGTTCGCATTCGGCAGCCTGCCGACAGCGTTTCGAGACCATTCAGGCCGACTTGCTGCGCGAGAAGTTGGCGAAGGACCCTGTGGCCCCTGAGGCTACAGTCGTGGTGCCAGCGCCGGCTGCGGGAAGCCCCGCGCCTGGAGCCGCACCCGGAGGAGCAGCGGCATCAAGCAGCAGTGAGGTTGCGGTGAGCCCCGCACCTGCTGCCAGCGACGTAGCTATGGTTCCTGGCCCAGGAGAGGCTGAGGTGCAGACAGCCATGGACACGGAGAGTGGAGAGCTCAGGAGCGACTTTCGGCGAAGTGCCCCAGGTGAAGTTCGTGAAGGAGCTGAGGTCAAGAAGCCCAGGGTAGCAAGCATTGGGCATCTCTCTGTCTGTGAGTTGGCAGTCTGCGAGGAGGGCTACGACGAGAGCTTCGACCCCATGTGGGATCCACACCCAAAGCGCAGTGCGAGATGTTCCGAGAGGTGTGAGAAGCACTCATCACGATGCCAGTTACGAGAATGCCATCAAGCTGAGTGTGCATGCAGGAGATGTTTGATGAGCCACATCGGCACAATCAGGAGCCACTTAGGAGATCCTGAGGAGCAACAGGTGGAGCAGATGGTTGAGGTGAGCGCCGAGCTGCATGAGAAAGACCAGTGGAGCCCAAAGACGATACACTACGATTACTACACTGGAGAGCCTCTGGATGAGGACCTGTATCAGAAGGGTCGCGACGACGAGCTGCAGGCCATGAAGGACTACGGGGTCTACGTGGAAGTGGCGACATCGACGGCGACCGACGGCAAGCACATTGGAGGTTTCCCGATAGCCCACATGAAAGAAGGAAAGGTCAGGTGGAGGTTCGTAGCAACCGAGGTGAACAAGTACGAGGTCAGGGAGGACAACCACCAAGGCACGCCCCCGCTCATGATTGTCAGTGCGACGCTGAGCCGTGCCGCTTCAAGTCCAACTTCCAGCGGGCAGCACCTGCGGAAGATACAAGTCTGGGACGTCAGGAAGGCTTTCTTCAACGCTGACTTAGACGAGACGATCTACGTGCATCCTGGGAGAGAGCTGTGTCCGCCTGGAAGGTGCTGGTGGTTACGCAAGGCCATGAACGGTACCAGGAAGGCGTCGCAGATGTGGGGTGAGCTTGTGAGAACTACTATGGACGACGGCCATTGGGAATGCTTGGTTGGAACTCCTAACGTGTTCTACTTACCTGCTAGCCCCAACACAGCCCCCTTCGACGAGGATAGCACAGCGATCTGCCATGGCGATGACTTTCTTGCTGAAGGCTACGACGAGCAGCTGGACGAGCTGGACGAGTTGTTGAAGCAGCAGTTTGAGGTCACGGCCAGCGCCAGACTTGGACCAGGAGCGGTAGGGCAGACTACATACCTCAAGAGGACGATCGGTTACACCGACAAGTTACCAGGTTGCGAGGAGCCAGGTTTCTTCTGGACTGCCGATCCCAAGCATGTGGACTTCATGATCAAGTGGACGCAGAAGCGAGGTTGTAAACCAGCTCCCACTCCAGGAACGAAAGCTACAGGACAAGGCCGACGAGACAGCCTAGACCTTCTTTCCAAGGATCGTGCTCGAGAAGTGGCGGGTGCAGCTGGCACCGCTCTTTACCTTTCTTCGGACAGGCCCGACACGATGTACGCCAGCAAGACAGCGATGCAGCACGTCTCCAACCCGAACGTCTTGATGCATGCGCGTGTTCAGCGGCTTGGAAGGTACTACGAAGGACAGCCTGTGTTGGTCTGGTGTTACCCACTTCAAGGTACTCCTGAAGGCATTCGTGTAGATGGTGACGCGGATTGGGCACCTACGAGTGAACTACAGCGGCGATCTACCAGTGGAGGAGCTGTGAGGTATGGTGACCACACTTGGGACTGCTACTCAGTGACGCAGAGTACGATAGCCCTAAGTTCAGGGGAATCCGAGATGTATGCCACGGGAAGTGCGACAGCCAGAGGACTTCAGTGTAAGACTTACCTGATCGAGACCCAGAGGCCCTGCAACCTGAAGATCTATAGTGACAGCACAGCTGGACGTGGGATGTGCAGCCGAGTTGGGGTGGGCAAGGTCAGGCACCTGGAGTTGAGGTACTTGTGGATTCAGGAGCGGTTGCGTCTCAAGGCGTTCGAGCTTCACAAAGAGGACACCAGCAAGATGACAGCCGACATGCTCACGAAGTACAGCGAGTGGCCGACAATCGAGAAGCATTGCACCACTCTCAACCTCAGGTTCGGAAAGCAGTTGAAGGGCTTGAGCGCGATGGCAGTTTTCACGGAGGTCGTGACGAAGGTGTCAGGCGAGAAGGTGACAGTGTACGGAGGTTCTGACGAGGTTGCGGTTTGCCCCGCGCCTGTCAGCCACTACGTGGACAGCGAGGAGTTCTGGTTCTTCCTGAAGTTGGGACTTGTTGTGGTGACTGCAGCCAGTGTGTTTTTACTGGGGTGCTGGTGTGGTTGCTACTTCAAGAACTTCTACGACAAGTTCCTCCTCCAGGGTGCGGTTAACCCCGCCTCTGGAAGCACTTGCACACCATCTGCGCGGGCTGACGTCGAGTTCAAGACCGTGTGTGTACAGCAGGACAAAGGAGCAAGGCACAAGCTCTTAAGCACGTTTCTTGTAGCTGACCTGCGAGCTGTCTTGAAGGCCAAGAGCCTGGCCGTGTCAGGGATCAAGGAGGACCTGGTCACGAGGATGATCAAGCACGGGTGTGTTCTGTCGGATCGCCAGGCCAAAGAGATCGAGCAGCTGCGGGTGATGGCTACAGCGCGTGGACCTCTTGCCAAGCTGAGCTTGCAGGACATCAGCAGTCCAGAGGCCGCGCAGAAGTGGATCGAGACGTTCAAGAGCGAGTGCTGAGACCGTTCCAGAGGCTCTCAGGTGATCCACGGAGAGGGCCAGGAGAATGGTCGCAGGAAGCACTACGACAGCCGAAGGTGAGCTTTCTTTTACAGGCTGCGGTTTGCCCCGCGCCTGCCCTCTGCGGGTAGCCCCGCGATGGGCTTAGGTGGGCAGCGCCGTTGCGAGGCCTGCTAAGGGAGCACAAAGTGGTTTCCCTGTGGCTCACTTTTCTCGGCTGGAGGCCGAGCCGCTTCCAGCGCCCAAGGAGAGGTGCTGGGAAGTTTGTAGTTTTACACATATATGTGATTATAGAAAATATAATCAGACTGTCCTGGAGGATCCAGGAAATCCTGCAGCCCTTTGTTGCTCGAGAAAAAGAGCGACCCTCACCTCCCCCCTTTCTCCGCGAAGGGGGTGGGTGCGCGTGCATTTTGCAAACATGGGCTGTGCGCGTGTGTGTGTGTGTGTTTGTGTGTGTTGTGTGTGCGCTTCCTCATAAACATCTATAGGTGTAAACCATGTATAGTGCGCATTCATACTTTCGTATTTCATCTTTGCTTTTTCGTATTGGGCTTTGTACGTGGCCAGTGTTGTTGTTCACATTCGTTCCGTCGGTTCGTATGTATTCCGCATTCGCGCCTTTGTCGATGTCGAACCCTGACTGTATCTATGGCGAGGTATCACCACTATGCGCCGCGCCACAAGGTATAATATTCAGCCTTCGCAGCCGGAAAGCGCTTCGATCGCTCCTTCCTCCCTTCTTCCCCAGGCTTCCCCTCCTCCTCATGATTTTCTCCTCTTCTCTCGCCTCCTCCCCCTCAACGCCTTCAGCGCCTCTTGTCTTCCCGGGGCTTCCCCCCCCGTCACTTGGAACGCCTGTCCCCCCTCCCCCCTTCAGGGCTTCTGCCTCCTCCTCCTCGCCGCCTCCTCCTCGTCAGCCCTTTGGGCGCTTTGGCTTGCTCGGGGCCTCCCTCCTCCTCCGCTGGAGCGCCAGCGCGGCGCGCCTGCGCGCGAGGTGCCGCTGCTGCGCCGCTGGAGCGCCGTGCAGCTGCGGGAGCGCCACGGCGTGCAGGCCGTCCTGCCCTTGGGGCGAGGGAGCCCTCCGCAAGATGGCGCCCGTGCAGCTGGCACGACCTGCGCGACAGAAGAATCAAGCAGTGTCGAAGCGTCCTGGCTCGCCTATGGTCCTGCCAAACAATGTTCTAGAAACCTTTTGTGGTTCCCACGTAATGTTCTCAGAACAGTCCTGGCTGGGACTGTCTTGTTCCCCACATCCTGAGTGGGGTTCTTGTTTTCCCAGAGCAACCTCTCCTTCCCACCCACCTCCCGCTCCAGCTTCCATACAGCACAATATTATTCCTACCACACACCATACCATACCATAGTTCCTACCACACATACCATACCATACCATACCATACCATACCACACCATACGTACCATACAGTACCATACCATACCATGGCGTACCATAGCATACCATACCATATCACACCAATGCCACACCGTACCATACCATACCATACCTCCAGTACCATACCATACCATATCATACCATACCGTACCATACCATACCTACCATACCATTCCATACCACTCCATACCGAAAACCATACTTACATGGTTTCGTGCCCCTCCCACCCCCCCTCCAGGGAGGCCCCGCCTGAGCGAGGAGGGTATCGGAATACCATACTATTTACATTGTTTCGTGCCCCTCCCACCCCTCCAGGCAGGCCCCGCCTGAGCGAGGAGGGTATCGGATAACCATACTATTTACATGGTTTCGTGCCCCTCCCACCCCTGCAGGGAGGCCCCGCCTGAGCGAGGAGGGCATCCAAAAACTATACTGTTTACAAGGTTTCGTGCCCCTCACACCCTTCCAGGGAGCCCCCGCCTGAGCGATGGAGGGTATCGAAAACCATACTATTTACATGGTTTCGTGCCACTCCCACCCCTCCAGGGTGGCCCCGCCTGAGCGAGGAGGGTATCGGAAAACCATACTATTTACATGGTTTCGTGCCCCTCCCACCCTTCCAGGGAGGCCCCGCCTGAGCGAGGAGGGTATCCGAAAACCGTACTATTTACATGATTTCGTGCCCCTCCCACCCCTCCAGGGAGGCCCCGCCTGAGCGAGGAGGGCATCCGAACACCATACTATTTACATTGTTTCGTTGACCCTCCCACTCCCCTCAGGGCGGGCCCGCCTTGAGCCGAGGAGGGGGCTGCCTTCCGGTACTCTTTCCTGGTTGCGTTTTTGTTCTCACCCCTGGCAGGAGGCCCCGCCTGGCGAGGAGGGTACGGATTACCATACTATTTACATGGTTTCGTGCCCCTCCCACCCCTCCAGGGAGGGCCCCGCACGGAGCGAGGTGGGTTATCGGAAACCCAATACCATACTATTACATGGTTTCGTGCCCCTCCCACCCCTCCAGGGAGGCACCGCCTGAGCGGGGAGGGTATCGGAATACCATACTATTTACATGGTTTCGTGCCCCTCCCACCCCTCCAGGGAGGCCCCGCCTGAGCGAGGAGGGTATCGGAAAACCATACTATTTACATGGTTTCGTGCCCTTCCCACACCTCCAGGGAGGCCCCGCCTGAGCGAGGAGGGTATCCGAAAGCCATACTATTTACATGGTTTCGTGTCCCCCCTCCACTCCTCCAGAGAGGCCGCGCTTGAACGAGGAGGGTCGCGGAAAGCATTACTCTTCGCCAGGTTTCGTAGCCCTCCCCCCTTCCAGCGGGGCCCCGCCAAAGCGAGGAGGGCATCAAGAAAATGGGTCCCACGAAACCGTTAATCTCTTTATGTGGGGAACTCCGTTAGCATAATTTTATCACATCGGGTTTATGTTCTAAGAACCTTGTTTTTGTTCTCAGAGCATTTTTGGGTTCTAAGAGCATTTCGTGGTAGGACTATAGGAATGCCGGGACGGTCGGCCCCTGCTCAAACGAAAGCAAGGTTCACCGAGCGGGCAGTCGCGCGTAAGCCTCCAACGAAAGGTTGCTGCGTACGGTCGTTTTTTCCCCACATCCTGAGTGGGGTTCTTGTTTTCCCAGAACACCCTCTCCTTCCCACCCACCTCCCGCTCCATCTTCCATACAGCACAATATTGTCTACCACACACACCACACCCATATACATAATTCCTACCACACATACCATACCATACCATACCATACCCTACCACACCATACGTACCATACCGTACCATACCATACCATGGCGTACCATAGCATACCATACCATATCACACCAATGCCACACCGTACCATACCATACCATACCTCCAGTACCATACCATACCATATCATACCATACCGTACCATAACATACCTACCATACCATTCCATACCACTCCATACCGAAAACCATACTACTTACATGGTTTCGTGCCCCTCCCACCCCTCCAGGGAGGCCCCGCCTGAGCGAGGAGGGTATCGGAATACCATACTATTTACATGGTTTCGTGCCCCTCCCACCCTCCAGGGAGGCCCCGCCTGAGCGAGGAGGGTATCGGAATACCATACTATTTACATGGTTTCGTGCCCCTCCCACCCCTCCAGGGAGGCCCCGCCTGAGCGAGGAGGGTATCGGAATACCATACTATTTACTTGGTTTCGTGCCCCTCCCACCCCTCCAGGGAGGCCCCGCCTGAGCGAGGAGGGTATCGGAATACCATACTATTTACATTGTTTCGTGCCCCTCCCACCCCTCCAGGGAGGCCCCGCCTGAGCGAGGAGGGTATCCGAAAACCATACTATTTACATGGTTTCGTGCCCCTCCCACCCCTGCAGGGAGGCCCCGCCTGCGCGAGGAGGGTATCGGAAAACCATACTATTTACATGGTGTCGTGCCCCTCCCACCTCTCCAGGGAGGCCCCGCTCTGAGCGAGGAGGGTATCGAAAACCATCTATTTGTTGGTTTCGTTGCCCCTCCCACACCTCAGGGAGGCCCCGCTGAGCGAGGAGGGTATCGGAATTCCTACTTTTTACATGGTTTCGTGCTCCCCCCCTCCAGGGAGGCCTCGCCTGAGCGAGGAGGGTATCCGCAAACCATACTATTTACATGGGTTCGTGCCCCTCCCACCTCTCCAGGGAGGCCCCGCCTGAGCGAGGAGGGTATCCGCAAACCATACTGTTTACATGGTTTCGTGCCCCTCCCACCTCTCCAGGGAGGCCCCGCCTGAGCGAGGAGGGTATCCGAAAACCATACTGTTTACATGGTTTCGTGCCCCTCCCACACCTCCAGGGAGGCCCCGCCTGAGCGAGGAGGGTATCCGAAAACCATACTATTTACATGGTATCGTGCCCCAACGAGGAGGGTCGCGGAAAGCATTACTCTTCGCCAGGTTTCGTAGCCCTCCCCCCTTCCAGCGGGGCCCCGCCAAAGCGAGGAGGGCATCAAGAAATTGTTGACGCTTCGCGTATCCCCACCAGCCCATGCAGAAACGATGCTCAGGGGAGTTGAGGTGATCAGGGAAGTCGGGGAGCATGCAGAATAACAAAGGGCGGGGGAAGCTGTCACAGACCCCGAGAGGGGGAGGATGGAAGAGGAGTCGTCGTCGTCGTCGTCGTCGGAGGAGGAGGAGGAGGAGGAGGAGGGGGAAGAGGAGGAGGAGGAGGAGGAGGAGGAGGACGGAGAAGGAGGAAGAATCGGATGAGGAGGAGGAGGAGGGGAAGGAGCTTCTTGGGGGTCTTTTGAGGGCCTCTTGGAGGGCTTTTTGGGCGCCTTGGGGCATCTTGGGCGCCTCTTGGGACCCTCTTGAGGCGCTCTGGGGAGCCTTAGGGGCGCTTTTGGGGCCATCTTGGAGGGAGTCGATCAAACAAGAGGGGGGGTTTAATTAGCGTCCCCCCTCGGAAGCCCCTAAAATCGCCTCTTGGACCCCTCTTGGAGCGCTCTTGGAGTGCTCTTGGGCGCTCTTGGGGCCGTCTTGGGGCTCTTTTGGGGCTCTCTTGGGGCCCTCTTGGGCCATCTTGGAACCATCTCCAGGCCACGGATGGCCATCGGAAGCGAAAAGGCGAGAAAGCAAAAATCATTGATTTTCCTTAGGTTTTGGGACGATTTTGGCCTCTTCGGGGCCTCCTTGGGGAGCTGTTTGGCCACGTGGAGTTATCTTGGGGCCGTCGTCGTCTTTGGGCTTCTTTGGAACATCCATATCGTAGGAGCCATCCGCATAGTGAGCGTTTCTTGCGCTATTTGAGCCATTTCTTGGAGCTCATCTTTGGGTTTTTTCTTGAGGCGCTCTTGGAGCAACCGCGTTGTTCTGGGCCATTTTGACGCACTAACCTACCCGCGGCCCCCCCCCGTCAGGTCCAGGGGGGGGGTTGGGGGAGGGGTTTACCCCTCCCCAAGGGGGAAGAGGGAGGGGTGGAAGAGGATCTGCTCTAGACCACCTACGCCCAGAGGGCTGGTGGGACTGGGTCCCACGAAACCGTTAATTTCTTTATGTGGGGAACTCCGTTAGCATAATTTTTTTTCCTCCACCCCTTTTTTCTCTCGTGGTTCAGCTGAAAAGCAGACAGACAGACAGACAGACAGACAGACAGACAGACAGACAGACAGACAGACAGACAGACAGACAGACAGACAGACAGACAGACAGACAGACAGACAGACAGACGCCATGCACAACATAGGTGCGTTGGCAGAAGGTGTGAGACATACTAGACAATTGGGTGAAACGGCAAGCGTGCTAAGCATAGGAGGAGGAGGAGGAGGAGGAGGAGGAGGAGGAGGAGGAGGAGGAGGAGGAGGAGGAGGAGGAGGAGAGGAGGAGGAGGAGGAGGAGGAGGAGGAGGAGGAGGAGGAGGAGGAGGAGGAGGAGGAGGAGAGGAGGAGGAGGAGGAGAGGAGGAGGAGGAGGAGGAGGGGAGGGGAGGAGGAGGAGGAGGAGGAGGCGGAGGGAGGCGGGCGGAGGCGGAGGCGGAGGCGGAGGGGGAGGAGGAGGAGGAGGAGGAGGAGGAAGGAGGAGGAGGAGGAGGAGGAGGAGGAGGCGGAGGCGGAGGAGGAGAGGGAGGAGGAGGAGGCAGGAGGAGGAGGAGGAGGAGGCGGCCTCAGAGCTCCGTGCGGCTC